CAGGCGCTACTTCATCGAAGCTGGTTTGCGCTCTGCCGGATGCGCTTTTATACTTTCTGGTGCTTACGTCACCCCGCTCGTGATGTCTCGCTACTCCATTGGACTGATTTGACACGTGCTTCAGAACGCGGTCACGCAGGGGCATTCCCAAAGCGATTTTGACGCAGCATCTCGTTCCCTCGGGGAACCATGGTTACATACGTAACCTAGAGACGTTTTCTATCACCAAAGAGTATTTTTACTCTTCTCACCAGACCATCCCTTTCAGCAATAGTCTCAATAACTTCTGCCAATCACCATTAATTTCTGGGCACATCATCTGCCTTTTCCAAGACTATATCTCCAACCTGCAAGTTCCTTCTGGTGGTAATATTAGACAAGTACTCCTTTCACCAACGACACCAGAACTGTTCTGCCAAGTACTGGACGCGATGCCATCTCTTGCGAGCATACAAGTCTTCCTTGATGAATTTACCTGGAGGTGATAAAGCTTGTACTGGTTTCAGGGTGAGCAGGTGATTTGGAGTCAAAGGTTCAGGACTCTTGGGATCATTCAAATTGTCTACTGCGAGTGGTCAGCTGTTCACAATGGCCATGACTTCATAGAAGAAGGTCCGTAGAGAAGAGTCATCCAATTTTTTAAAGGATAAGGACAGAGTGGAGTGAAGGACGCTTCTCACAGTTCTAATTTGTCTCTCCCACACGCCTCCAGCTTGACTTGCATGAGGTGCATTGAAGACAAAGTCACATTGGTTTTCTGCTAAGAATGTTACCAGTTGGGTAATGTTAATCTCCTTCATGGCCTTTGCAAACTCGTTTTTGGCTCCAACAAAATTAGTACCCTGGTCACACCTTATCTGACGCACTGCTCCTCTGATGGCGATGAAACAGCGCAGGCCATTAATAAAGGCATCTGTGGACATGCCATCCAGCATCTCAATATGGACAGCTCTACAGCAAAAACAGGTGAAAAGAAGTCCATACCTATTGTATGATTTGCGCCCTTGCTTGGTGATAAACGGACCAAAACAGTCCGTTCCACAGTAAGTGAACGAAGGGGATGGGTATGTACGCTCTGGGGGCAGATTGGCAATTTTTTGTTCTTCTGGTGGTCTGCGAAGCTTACGACACTTTACACACTGGCGTATAAAGGAGGCTACAGTCCTGTTTACTCCTATAATCCAGAATCCTCCTGACCTGATCTTGTTTATAGTAATAGTATAGTATAGCAATCAGGAGTTTTGTAAGATGGTGTTCCTTTGGAATGATAACTGGATGTGTAATGGAGTTGGAAACAGAAGTGTCGAAGAGCCTTCCTCCCACCTTGAGCAGTCCGTCGTGATCAACAAATGCCTCCAGATAGTATAGCTTGTTGCTACGAGGTAGTCTCTTGCCCTTATTCAGTATGGCTATTTCCTCTGAATACACCTGATGCTGTAAATTCATGAGGATGATATGCTTAGCATCCTCACACTCTGCAGAAAACCTTTTGAGATAACCTTGTGAGATGATCAGACAAACAGGAATACTCTAATGCTTGCGTATTCAGGGACTTGGCTTTCTTGACTTCTGGGTCTCCAATTGGTAGTTGTTTATCAACATCCAGAGAGGGAGGTAAGTACCTTTCCCATAAGATGTTAGGTCCCGTGAACCAGTTGGAGGGGACAAGACTGTTGACACTCAGGCCTTGTGAAGCACAGTCGGCTGCATTTTCGTCCAAAGAAATATATCGCCATTGTCGGGGAGTTGTACTGCGATGGATTCTCTGAACTCTATTTGCAACAAAGGTGTGGAAGCACTG